CCGGGGGCGGGGGGAGGCGGGACAACGAGGCCGCCGGAAGCGGGCGGGAGGGCCGGCCAGGATATTAGGGCGAGCGCGGCGGTGGGGCCGGGCCAGGCCGGGCGGGCACTGCGGCGTTGACGGACAGCGCCGCGCCGGTCGGACTTTCGTTTACGCTGTTACGCGTTCGCGCTGGACCGACCGCCGCGCCTCGCTTCGCCGCCCTTCATCCTCCCCCGGCGCCACCTCGGCCCGATTGTTTGGTTAGTTCATTGATTTACTAATGATTTAGGGCGCGTCAACTACTGAGGCCATTAGTCCCGTAAGTGCAGTGCATGTTTCGCCTTAGAGGGATAATCTTCCCCCGCGGGATGGCGAGATTCGGCGCAGACCTACTGTACCAGATATCTCCCACCAGCGGGACAGCGCACCAGTCGGGATAAGCTCTATGCTCCCGACCGGTCTCCTGGCATGTGTGCTAGTGTATTGCGTATTAGTGCGTGTGTAAGGGGAGAGGATAGGACAAGGAAGAGGTGCGAAAGATCACGCGTGGTCCGTGGCCCGTTTGTTAGAGTACTGCTCCGGCATTCGCCTGGTGTTGATCGAAGAAGCCACGGAAAACTACCGATCAGAGCAGCCGGCCGCCAGAATTCTCCTCTAGACAGCGACTGGATTCGACCTAACTATGTAGCTAGTGTCTAAAATGATTCCACAGTCGGGAGTGGAATCCTGTGACCTCCTGATCGGAGGGAGTGCAGTGATGCCCTGCGCCACCTCTCCCCCTCCAGTGGCGGCGACGGACAGCGCGGGGCCGGACTTTCGCTTCCGCCCTCTTACGCGTCCGCGCTGGACCGGCGGCCTCCACGCGCAGTCAACTTCCCCCTCCCCCTCCCTTTCCCTCCTCCCCCTCCCCGGCGGCCTCTCGCTCCGATCGTTTGGGATTCGCCTCCCCCCCACCACCACTTTTAGTGCGCGCTCGTGTTTCAGCCGCAATCTTCAGCAGCGCAGATAATAAAGAAAAATGTGGCCGCTTTTATTCATCGGAACAATAAACCCGGGCGCGTCCGCGAGGGAGCGCGGGAGGCGGTGGGGGTGGGGCGGCCGGGCGAGCCATCGCCCGCGCCTCGAGCGCGCTGATTACGATGCCAAGGGAAACGGCCAGGGCAGCAACTGATGCCACTGCAGTGCCCCTGACCGGGAGGTCCCGGGGTTCCACTTCCGACTCTGGTTGGATTTTCGACACGAGCTTGTCGGCTGGATCAAATTCAGTCGCTGTCTGTAGGAGAATTCTAGCAACTGTCTGCTCTGATCTGTATTTTTTCCGAGGTTTCCCCGATTATCATCAGGCGAATGCCGGAGCAGTTCCCTAACAAATGGGTCACGGTTCGCGCACTCTCTTTCCTTCCTCTTCCTTGTCATACCCCATACTCACATTTACACTAACATGCACTACGCCAGCACACATTCCGGGAGACAGGTTAGGAGCTCAGAATTCGTTGCGGCTGGGGCGGTGCCCTACTGGTGAAGATATCCGGTAAAGAGAAATCTCTCTAGTTCACGGTAGGTCGGCACCACCTCCCTAGGAAAAACCATGCACTACATTTACGGGACTAATAACCTCAGTTGTTGACATGACCGGAATCACTAACAACCAACCAACCAGCGTAGAAACGCTCTGTTCCCAAATTCTGCATTTCGAGGCTTCGTACGAACTATTTTTGCGAGAATTGCAATGTTAAATGCAGTGAGCTTTTTATTTCTCAGACACAGTATTCTATGTTTATCATATATAGAAGAACTAAAATGAATACTCCTTTTGGGCTGCCCCGACCCAGAGTTTATCTGAGCGCCTTCGGTGCGGTCAGCGCTGCTTATGAAGTTAGCCCGGCGACGGTGGGAAGGATGGGGAAGCAGAGTGGCGCTGGGGCGCGATTGGATCTAGTCTAGTGAAAAGCGAGTGGGACACGGACCCCTGCTGCGGACCACAGCCGACAATCTGGCTTCACACTCTTGCCTTTGAGCAGCCCCGGAGTGTAGTATTGAAATATTTGCATGCTAAATACGCAGATTTGTTTTGGGTTTTGATATTCAGCGTCTTAATTATAGATACACAATCGCATCCCGTGAGGAACGTATTCTGATAAACATTCTTTAAAGTATTCTTCATCTAATTTTTATGTGTTTGTAGTCTTCAAAGTTAAGGGGGGATTTATATAACCAGGAAGAAAGACGATTATTTATTCGACGAGATTGTATTAAATGAGATTGGAGAGAAGTTCTTTTACGGTGTTTTATATTTTTCTCTTGTGCAATACTTCTAACTGATAAAGGAAATGTATTTTACGTTTTACTTGGATATCATTGTACAATTTGTTTTGCTGTGAACATGTTACCAATTCTGAACTTTCAAGATACTTGTTATGTATATATCTTTTGCATATGGGAGCAATTCTATGGTAGATATATATTGGCATATTTTTTTTATATTTCTACGCGTTTTAAGGAGGTGTCCCTTACCGAGAATTGAGTTAGATCTTAATGTAAAATTGGCAGTGAATAATATTTTCTTAGTGGCATAACAGACATGGCTTGGGAATTTACCTGGGGTAGCTCGTGGAGTGAAATCTAGACGACGTTTTATTCCGATAGGAATCTCACGAGTGTAGCTCTGACTGTGACAAATTCTGCATGTCTACGCAAACCAGGAAGGGGAGGGCGCAATGGAGTGCGAAAGAAAGGGGGAAGACGTAGGGGGAAGCTCCTCCCCCTCGTTATACTCCAATTTTTACTTCATTTTTTAAAAGTAGTGGCCGATGACATTAGGTCGTTGATACACCTCCGGTTTGATAAAATGAATATTTTTAACAGTGGCAAGCACATTTCTGAGGCCACGAGCACGTTGAGAAGGAAGCTCGCGAATTAATTAGAAATATTCATTTTATAAGGCAAGATAACTGCTGTCATCGACCACCATAGAAAAATCGAAGTATAAACAGTGTCTCTTCAACGTCACAAGCTGGAACGGAAGGGAGACAATAGCATCCAATCGGGAGCTCCGACACTAGAATTTTAAGTTGCAACGAAGCTCCCAATTGGATGACAGTGCTCTCCTCTCCTTCCAGCTCGTGGCCTTGAACACCACTGTTTACATCGGAGTATGTATGACGCGGAAAGCGAGGGTTTGGAAGTAGCGAGGACACGGCGCTTGCAAGAGTAAAGTCACGCTACAATCACGATCCCTCCTATACTAGCATTTTCTTACGTTTTATTTTTTTCTACCACACTTCCAGACAAGGCCGGAGATCGGACTTTCATTTTTATATTACTTTACTTAAGAATAGTTTTCACATCGCATTTCGATCGCTTCCGGCGAAACTCTCAGCATTAGATGGCCCCTAACGTGAACATTAAAAACCTAAAAAGCGTGAAGAATATTAGGACTTACTTTATTTTTTGATTACATTAAACACACTCTCCAAAACCGATCAATAATGTCTTCTATGTCTTGTGTTACAAGACCGGTGGCTGCTTTTCTGAAAGTTCGTATACTACTTCCCGAAGAATGGCAATGTTGGGTAAAGTTTGCAATCTCTCATCACGAAGACACAACCAAGGAGAATCACAATACCTATTTTCTCAAACTGCAATTTGTGATATTTTAGTGTTCGTGCTCTGAATCTCTTCGCACAAACAGAAATCTTTGAGGTGGGGACTGCCACTTACACATGTTTTTCTTTATTGCTACATCGCTAGAAAAAGGTTTCTAAAATGTTTAGAATTAAATCACTGCCACGAATCATAGTTTGCATAAATATGAAATCAATAAATTGGTAAATTAATCTCAACGCTACCGAACTTCAAAGGGAAGACACTCGCAAACTCAAGAACCTTCTAGAATTACATGATAGAATTCTAGAACGGCGAAGAAAGAAAGAAAAACAGCATCGCCAACACAATACACATGAAATGAATTTAGAAAAACACTTTTCACGTATACGAATAACATTTCATTCAAACGTCCAAGGCTAAATAGCTGTTCTAATCAAGTAAATAACCGTTTTACACGATTCGAAACAAAATTATTACACACTGTCCACTGATTTTCGTGCACGTGGTTTCGTAACTACCAAGTATTGATCTGCAATAAACTCAGAACTAGTACTTGCCAGATGTTCCGGCCTTCAGCCTTCATCACATCACTCCTGCCATTTACAAAACTCGCTGCGGTCGATATTTCTGCTGGAATTTACCAGTTTCTAATACCTCCCTACCACACTCTGCACCTGAACGACATTTCGGACTTTCTTTTGATTGTTCGTTCCTCATAAAATGACAGAATGCTTTAACTAAGGCGTTTGTGGCCAAATGTGATGTCTGAGGTCAAGGTAACTCATTTACAGGTACTTTTCAAGAAACCATAAATTGCGATAGTGTGGTGGCTATATTAGTGAATGTAGGAGAAAAAATGGCAGCTGGTTTGTACAAGAGAAACGCCTAGTGCACATTACTGGTTTAATGATAACCAGGAACGTATACAACTAACAATAAAACGATAAATCTTAGAACATGAAATTTGACTCCAAAGAAAACAACTATTTATGGGGGAAAATGAAATACAAAATTTACGGTCATATAAATGATTTAAGATTCATCCAAAACTTCGTCAAAATCTGAAATTGTGTACAATACTTATCGAAACAAATTTGAAAGCAAAATTGAAATTACTGTACAGTTCAAGCACTAAAACGTAAAAACCTTCAATTCTTTGATCTAATAAATTTGAATGCAAAATTGTATGCCACGTACTGTACTGTTCAACCATTCGTTCTTCCATGTTTAACATAAATAATATTGAATTGGACGCACAAATACAATAATAGAATTTTCACAGCAATTATCCTGTCGATTGCACGCAGATAAGAATCTGTTGCATGCAAAGAACTTTAAAAAAAATACAAACAAAGAAACAAACAAAAACGGAATCTTCAAGATGGCGAACATGAATGTATGTAGTTACTTACAGTGTGACGCTGTTCTCCAAGGTGGCTTCACCATGACTCGCAGGTGGGGCCTGGCAGTGTCTTCATTTGAGCTCAAGCAGACAGTGAAACTTTTAACTGGTATGCTTTGAGTCACACCACTAAAACTTGTATCACTAACTGAACACTTTAGAGTTGACTTGTAACGACGCACGTTTAAAGTGTTGCACAGGAATGAAGCCTTGAGCTCAAGTCCGTGCAACCAAGCGTGAGCTACCGTTGAACACTGATATGAGACTGAGACACGAAGAAACGCTCGCGCCGTCTCGTGGAGAAACCGAGAACTACATTATTTTCTGCTAGAAAAAGATTTTAACTACCCTTTTATTTTAATCGTAAAATTAAACATGTGGGAAATTATCAGTCATTATATATTGTAATGCATCACTATAGATCTAAAGAGGCCTTTTGGTTTACATACAATAATTTCACTATTTACAAACGTGAACCTTAAATACCTGTGAAAGCAACCCATTGAAAAGGGGGATTTTACAACTTGACATTGATTGTTTGTAATTGATTCCGGGAATGTCAACTACTTCAGTCATTAGTCCCGAAAGTTTAGTGCACGATTTTTTTCGGGAGGTCGCGGAGATTACCCCCACTCTATGGCGAGGTCCGGCGCCGACCTACCAGGGTTTTTCCCAACCAGTTCTATCCGACGGGACTCGAACCTAGGATCTCCCGCTGAGAGGGACTGCAGTGACATCATTTGATGCCCTGAGCCATCTCTCCCGGTAAATTTATTCGTAATACCAAGCTCTGAGAACGACGACTGACCAGTGACAATGAGAGCTAACTCTCAACCATAATCTAAATATAATAATTATATTTAACTCAGTGATATTTCTAAACAAATAATTTTATTTTCATTGAAACCAAACAACATATTAAACACGCATTTATATTTCACTCCTAGGGTGTAATGATTTTGATACAAATCAAAATGAATGTATTAGAATAACCCTATTAGACTCCACAGTGCAAACATTTTATAGTTCTTCTAATATCAATTACTCTAAGATATTCGACTTCACCTGAGTTCTTCATTTCTCGAGTCCCGAGTTCGTATCGGTTCCACCATTTCCGCACAAACTACGGCACTTCCTTCATCAAGTCTTCGCATCCACTTCTCGCTCATTTCCGTCCCTAGAGGTTCTGCCCGGAAGTGCGGGAGTTAACTGAAATTATCTTCATCGATTTGCGCAGCACTCGCAACGCTCTCCGCCGCCGAACATTAATCTCCGAGCAATTCCTTCGTGGTAATTGGATATGCAACTCCCAGTGTTTCGAGAATCCGTCAAAGCAAAGACGAAGTTCATTTCCAAAGACATGCAGTTATAAGAAGCCTCTCATTTTCGAAGATACATACCGACATAGGTGGCTCAGGGCATCAACTGATATACTGCAATGCCTCTAACTGGAAGGTGCTAGAGTCCCAATAGTGGCATAATAGTCTTGATATTAATTAATGAACTAATTCAGAAGAAAAATGTAATTAAAGATAAAGCCCCTGTCTTCAATAATGCACGAGGGATCCCAAAAGTTCATGTTTTTGCAGTTTTCGAAAAGTCAGAGTTGACGGTGAAAACAGGACCTAAGCAATTTTTATAAATGTATTCCATTGTATCCTTACAAGAAATTTAAATAAAATATAATTAACAATTTATGACAAAATTTTGAAAATGTTCCAAGTTCTTCCTACCCCAAAAATTTCAAGAATTATTTTCAAAATCGCAAGTATTGGATATGGGACAGATTTATCGGCAAACATTTTTCTTGGAAAATACTATGCAAAAATTTTATGCACTACTTCTGTTCACAGACGGACAGACAGACGGACTATTGAAAACAGCTTTTCCGGTAACACGTAATGCAAAAACGTGTATTTCCGTGAAAACTTCGAAATGGATTTTCCGTAGCATTACATAACATTTTCTGTACTCCACACATAGTATGTATACAAAAAACTATAAACTCGCTGCTTTTAATTCGATAACACAATCTCACACTTATAATATGTTTTTCTGTTATTGTTAACCTAATAATAAAATTTAATGTGAATGCTCTCAAAGTCTATGAAGAAGTGATAATGCCTATTGGATTCACAATCTTTTACATTAAAAATCACATCTAAAAAATCACAAAATTTGTTTGAGTATAAAGCTCGAAGATTTTTCTAAATGAAATTTGTTGTATATAAAGATTTTAAATATGAGATTAGAAAGAGTTTCTCTCACTGCACCTTATATAATAGAAAAGGCAACACCTCCGGAGAGTTGCCCCGTCACTAATATTAAGTATGATTCCCTGGAGGCACAGAAACACCTTCATTAAAACCAGAAAACTATTCAACTTGTTTTATTTCATATGAATTCGAGTGCTTTCTCCGGTTTTATTGGAAATCTAAATATTTACGAGAATGTTGGTTTGTGAAAATCGTAACTGTAAGTCATTTCGCTGTATTTGTGTAACGATTATGTTGTGTCCACTAAATTATTCAGAAAAATACATGGATTTTGATTAAACAAACAGTTATTTTCAAAGGCCAATACCATAAAAAGGATCATAATTCCTCATTTAAACCTTGGATTATTGGAACGAAAGAATCGAAAATGAATTCGATTAAATTACTAATTAATACAACTGACGCAATGAAAAAAGAAGACAATCTTTTAAATTATTTTTGCAAATATTCCGACAAAGAGAATCTCAAGCGCACTAAACGTCAGAATAATATAACAAATTTAATTCAAGCATCTGTAATCCACAGAAATGCGTTATTGAACTTCAGCAATCGATAGACCCGAAGCGAATCTCATGATTGGATAGTCGAAAAAAACCCCACTTCAAGTCCAGCGTGCCAGATGACGAGAGCGCCCAGGAATGAACACAGAGAAGGACATCGACGGGTGATTGGATAGGGCGGGCCTGCTAGTCTCTTGAACCGGGCTCTCGTAATTTTCGATCTCTTTTTGCTCCCGTTGCCTTGACGAAGCGCTGCGACCTCAGTGGCCGAGGAAAATGGAATATTTCGCTCCAAGCAAGCCGCCATTTGCATTTCGTTCCGATTGCTTTATTGTATCTGATGCCCTAGACGCTTCGTTCTACGAACTTGGGTTCGATATTTTTACTAGGGAGTAAGTATTGAACAGACATTTTATCGAGCTTTCCAAGTGACTGTAGTTTCTCGCACTTATACTTCCAAATATTTCATGTGCTTATATCGTGATCTATGTAGCACTAACATCCCTATTCACATCATCTAAACTTTGTTTCTTGAAAGCTCCATCTGTCACAGCAATCGCTCGTCATATTATATTTTGGGATTCCCACAAGTAGTTGAAGCCGTTTTCATTCAATGCCGGTTTTAACTGAGTCACCCAGTTGTGTTTATAATTTACCGGATTTTGATTCACATCTGTTTCCTTAAGTATTTTGTTCAAAATTTTAGGATCGCGCTTTTAATCCATGTTTAGTAACTTTATTCAATTCTATAACGTTTGCTTTACAATTTGGCATTCCAATTTAAACGCACCTGTTTAGAGCGCGAGAAGATATCCTGGTGTAGTTTTAGGGAGATGAAAGAGCGTTTAATGAAAGATGTTGGCGTTTTCTCTTTATCGTTTACGTACGCATATCTCGACTCTCCTCCTCCATACATAACAGATAATATGACGATGGCATCGCAAAAATTCTTTTTATAAGCAAATGTGTCATGTTTTCCCTCATTGAAGCAGTCCTCAGTGTTGTTTTTCTTTCGTGATAGCTTCTCTCGTTGCTACGTCATAAGAAAACGATATTACTAACGGAATACCTGGGTAGAACCTACTTACGACTGCCAGGTTGATTTCGTTGTCTTTTGTGGCTTCCTTTTTCAGGTTTCCAGCCTTCCTAAATGTCATTACTTCAGTCTTCTCGTTGACTTCTGAGGATTAGTGATGATAATGTGAATGAATGTAAAGTTTGTTTTGGAGATCTACTATACTGTTCGCAAGGATAACGAGATCGATCGCGAACAGTAATATCTCACAACACTAGCGCCCAAACTATTCGTAGGGCTTTTGCGAAAATGAATATTCCCCAGTCCATCTGGCCCTTCGAAACTCTATGATTTTGAAAACAATTCATTGAGTTTTTGAGGGATCATTACAAGCAGCTTGTGGGACGTTTTCAAAATTCTCTAAAAAATGGCTCCTTTAAATTTGTTTGAAAAATAAAGTTAAATACACTTATGAAAGTGACATAAGTTTCACATGGATATTACATTCACTGTTAAATAACACTGTCCAAATTTTGCAAAATTACAAAATATAAAATTTTTTGAACTCACTCGTACTAGCATTTGTACATTACAGAAGATAAGGAGTTTTTATTTAAATGAAATGTGTTCTTCCCAATTATCTCTTTTATTTATTTTTTGTATTTTTTGAAAATATTAGCTGGTTTTGGTAAGTTTGAGTGAAATAGTAGCAATATTTAAAAATATTTTTTCTGTACCACTGTATCACAATTTTTTACAAGCATTTTGTACGTATAATACTAAATGTGAGGCACTCGGAGGCTTGTTGACTATCGTGCTCGCTTTTCATGTCGCAACCCCGGGTTCGATTTCCGGCTGTGGTAAAATAATAACTGTGCGCTTTCTCAGTATCTGTTGCTGTGTGACGATGATAAATCCAACCTTAAGGTTATGGAGACCATAATATACGATGAAGGGATATCTACGTGGTAAACGAACCCCTTTATCCCATTGTCGAGAAGCTGGGCACCGCTGGTCGGCCATGGCCTGTAGCGAGCATAGGACGGGATAGCACTAAATGCACTGAGCAACATGACACAACGCAATTTTGATGTATAGTTTTGTGTTCTTTTATAATTATATAAATGTATTTTTTAAAGTATCTTTCACATCGTTAAATTTTACTTAATAGATTTTTTTGATTGTTTAATACATCTGTAAACACAGAAGCTTCAAAGTATTTCTAATTATGAATTTTGAAGCACCCATAAGTTTTGACGAGATGGGAACCACAAAAAGCCAGTTTTCGAAAACGTTTGAACCAAATTTTCTAAAAAACGGCTCAATTTCCTTTTGACAAAATCTCCGTATTAGAAAATTTAATTCTCTATGATATTCCAAAATTATTATTTTTTGTTAAAGAAATTTGTTGCTCAAAAACAACTATACAAACTACAAATTGTACACAAATACAAGCAATTTAAGAAGCCTCTTTGTGGCATCAGAGCAAAATTTAAAAAAAACAACTAGGAGTCATTTTTGGGAAAATTTCTAGATAATGTTTTAGTCTTCATGAAAAATACTACCAAAAGTTGAAAATTTCAGTAAAATTCTAGAGGTCGCAACGTCAATCGATATCGAATGGGAAATATACTACTATGTAAAATAGCCTTGAGTATTTGTGAATAATTCTTCCGTATCCAGAACCCACAGAACACTGGCTATTCTGTGCGTAGAAAAGATTGCCAAACAAGGTATAAAAGGAAGAAAAAACTACTTTTTCAGTATCAGGGTTCCAAAAAATGTGTTTTTCCGGTAGATAAATTGGCATTTTCTGTTGCATTGCATAACGTTTCCTATTTTATGTAGAATACGAGATTGAACAGTTCAAACTGTCGAGATAATAATGAGAAAAGGAATTAAAACGACACTGAGTCTAAATGAACATAGTGGATTATATACATCAAAAATGCGCCTTTCAATGGCGTATACACTCATCAGCCTGACTTCAAACTGAACGTCTCTGTTCTAAACAAATGCCTTTCTATGAAAATACTTTTCAAGCCTTCTCTAGGCAGGTTGTGAACGAGCAAACACAAGATTGCCTCGCGCCCGTCAGTTTGATTTCCCAGCCCTCCCGCCCGTAGTTCCCCGCTTGGCCGTGGCGGGCGCTCGCCTTGCCTGGCCTGGCGAGTCAAAGGCGGCCGGAATGACCTGTGGGAGTTGTGCCAAGTTCATATCTCCGTCTGCCCACGCGAGATGGCGGGCCGGTCGCGGGCGCGGTGCACCGCAGGAAATTGTGCTGCGGAACTTTGCTCGCGTGGGAGGACGGACTTTTAGAGCTGCGAGTCCGTCACTCGCGAGTGCAGGCGCGGGCGCAAAGGGGCAAGTTTTGATTTGCGACGAGAAGACGATCATGCGGAAATAATGTCTCGCAAGAACTGGCGAAGAGAAGAGTACACAGAGGAATGTTGCAAGCATTGTTTTGCTTTTGTATGTTTGGCAGCGTTCCCGAACTGATCTCCTTCAAAGTTGCCCCAAGCATTAATGCTGCGATGGATTAATAATAAACACAATCATTCACGCCAAAAGATTGGACATTTTAAAAGTTGCCATCAGCCTTTCTGCACTATGGAAACGTTTTAATGGTGTAGTTGTTACCATCATTATCCCCACATACAGAAAATAACGGACGCAGTTGGAGTTGTAAATCGAGACAATAGGCGAAATATATAACAAAACGTGTGTCGTTTCTGTTATATAAAAGTGAAGTGCTTTACAATAATACGTGACACAAAAAATTAATGTTACTTTAGTGATTGCAACCAAATGTGGCCCGAATAATTTTGAGAAATCAAGGTTGAAACTTAGTGTTATTGCAATTCAAAATAAGATTTTTTTTTGAAATTCACAAAATTGATTTGGAGTGTATGCTGTTTCACTCTCGTAGCTTCTCTATTGTTAATATCAAAATATGTAACAAGAGTATTGAGAGCAAGAAATATAACTGTAAACGTGCTGTACTGAGTCATTTAGAGGAAGTATAACGCGTATTAGAAGAACAAATTCGTGAAGAAAACTACTACAAATGATTTGAAACAACAATTTAAAATGTATATTATTCCTGCTAAGTACTTGCTTATTGTACATTCAACTGCTTGAAATGAACTGTTTTTATTTTACAATAACCTTCGTCAATTTTCCTTCACATATACAATATTTATCAAGGTAAGTTGGAAATTAACCTTAATTGCAGCTAGGCGTGAATGTATTAATGTTACTAGAGATTTGAAATTAACGGAAAAAGTAATAGATAGATAACATGTAAATATTTATGATGATGCTTAAACTGTAGCAGATTGAATGATTTTTATCCTCATTGGAAGATATATCAAGTTCCACACCGTGAATAAAGGTATTTTATTTTTATTTTTATGCAGATGTTTTAATTATTTTAGTTAGAAAGCGAATAAAGTAGACAGCGGGTTTAGAGGTGGGACAGGAAAAGCGAAAAAAGGTCTGTCAAGGACGAGTGGGATGGGATTGCACTAGTATACTATTAGATGTGGCTAACAGAAAAGAAATAGATACAATTTTTGTGGTTGTTTGAGAAACGTTGTGAAAAATAAATACTGAAGCACCTCAAGGTACTTCACTTTCACTCGTATTAACAGATGAAAATATATCTTCATAAAAATTTTCTATTTTATCACACTTTATGGTTTTGCATCTAAACACGCAAAGAGAGTCCAGTAATTTGATTTAATATGAAGCATCTTTATGCAAAATATGGACAAAGCCATGTCCATCAGCTCTTTGCTAGAAGATTATGATAAATGTCCAAGAAATGCCGGTTTCTTAAAACTTGCTTGTGATTTGGCCGGGTGTGGTTCAATATTTTGCACATTCATTTTTCTTATTATGCGAAAACATAAAAATAATACATACCTTTCCTTGGAAATTGAATTCTCGTCCGCCATATTTTTTTGCAATTTATTTATTTAATTTTCCGTTAAATGACAGTAAAATTTATCAATGACGTGTGAGGAAGGAGAGTAAGCTGGGACCGTTTGTTTGAGCTTCAGAATCATTGCCCCACGTTTTTACTTTACATTACACCCCTTTATTACACCATACTGCATTTTGTTTCGATTAGTCTTATACACATGTATAAATAATTTATTGAGGATCTATTTTCAATATCTTCAGATTCTATGTTCTTAAACTTCATTATTCTCTTTTGATTTTCAAATCACTTCTTGCTATGTCTGCTCTCCCAATAGTGGAATTTGTTTGTTGAAATCGTATCCTTTCTGCATCTTAAAAATATCAAATACCAAGTTACTCGTAACTAACTACACATGTTTTTTTTTATTGGATTAACAATAGCATTGAATGTTCAATGTATTGTCTTGTTCTGAGAATACACATTTCTATTCGTTTGCAAAAGGGCATTTAACAATTTTCTGTTTTCAACAAATATAATTTGTATTAAAAAAAGTAAAGTCTACTACGTATTATGCATATCGAATATGTATATTTGAAAGTTCACAAAGGGTATTGTCTCAACGTCCATGTATTTTGTAATTTTTTAACATTCCGACCATTATGTTCTCAGAATTGCATATCTGACATTTATTCTCTATTGTTTTATTTGTGTTGTGTGCATTCTAAAACTATGAATAAAAGTGCTGTGTACAAAAAAAGGAGATTTCGCATTTTGACTCTTGCGCCAAGCCTCGGAGTAGTAAATTATGAGCGCTCCTTGCCCTTAAGGAAATCTAAGATCGCATATGAGACCTTAAAATCCCCAAATCGCATTGATTAATATAAAAACTAGTGGTGCTACAACAACGCGTATTTTCTCTGCTTAATAACGGTTACTTAAAATTACAATACAGCGATTTCTGTTTACATTACATCTCAGTCATCACTTGTAAAATTCATTACAAATCTAGGAGCTTTACGTGAGTAAAATTAATTATTGGTAATTATGCCTAGATCGCAGCATCCTCGAACAATAAAATTTGTATTGATACCGACCGTGGAAACTTTTTAATTGGACCAACCTCTTTGAGAAGGAAACATCCAAACTCACACGTGGGTGCATTTTGCTCCGAGGAAGGTCGCATTGTGACGGCCGAAACGATAGCAACTATGACT